TTTAAAAAATAAGAATAAGAGGATATGTGGATCAAGAGAGAGCAAACTATATGTGACTAAAGGATGCCTTGACTGAATGATTTTCAGACTTTTTACGTTTGGGGTCTAATTAGTGGAACTGTATTTCTTGCATCCCTCATAACACACTTTCCTTGACTGCCAGGGCCTTGGGCCCAGCTTGCTTCATAAACAGGGCAAACTATGCAAGGACCAAGAGTGGGTAAACAAACACTTGCTCACCAAGGCTCTATGTGATGCTGAGATCAGTCAGAAACCTTGGTTAGCCTTCAGATCCTCTATTCTGTCCTGCGAAAGAGTCAGCCTTGTGATGGAGGGACGTAAGCAGCAGGCAATCATTTTCTCCTGTTCTTGGCTTATCTTGTGGTAAAATTGCTGCTACAATCTTCAGAGTTTTTCCTAAAGCAAAAAAAAGTAGAAAACCCCATTTATTTCAGTAATATTGAATATACAAGCATTGTTGCTGTTTCCAAGGTTCACCTATATTTCACCTGTGTGCATCTGGTCACTACATTAGGAAGCTTTTTTGTCCTTATGAAATGCTAATAATGGAGATCCGTTGATAAGGGTCTGTTTGGTGGTTAACCTGCTTTTACAGAGACACATTTCTACATTCTGGTAAGTGATAATCCGCTTTGCTTGGCTTAGAGTGTCTATGGCCCAATCATTTGACCTGATAAATGGCTTCCTGTCACGGGTGAACTTTTCCCCTAGGATTTGCTTCACACAACCCATGAAGCCTTCATGTGGTTTCATAGAATTACTCAGTTGGAAGGGGGCATTTAGGCCACTGAGTTCAATGTCCTGCTCAGCAGAGGAATCGAAACAAAAGCATCCTCATTTTAAACATATCTTCTAAAGGGGAGCCCACTGGCTCTTTAGGCAATTGGTTCCACTGTCAACCTGCTCTTATCATTCAGCAGATTTTTCTAGCATTTGAGTCGGTTTAGATTTTGGCCTTGTAAGTTGTGTGAATCTGGCCATTGTGGTTCTCCAATCATGATTTATGGTTCAGTGTTTTTCAGCAGATGTTGCTTCCCACCCAAGAGGAAGGGGAGGTTTTGCTGCCTTTGGTGCCTGGAAACCCCAGGCAAGCTTTCTGCTACATTTCTAGGAGGAAAAGTACTAGCAAGGCCTTGAAGTTCCCATCTATACTCAGGATATAAATATTTGGCAAGTTTCCTGTTTTGTTGCAAAGTTTACCCTTTTAGTATCAGGCCCTTTTTTATATAGTATCATGCTACCAGGGAATGCATTACATGATACCAGAGAAAGAAAGCTGTCTTGTGTTCTGTCTTTGCAGAGTTTATTTATTTAATCCAATTTGGACGTGTCCAGTTCCAACTGGCTCTAGGCTTATAAACTGCTACTGAACAATAAATTTTAATTCAATAACTACCCAGAGTTGCTCTTGAGTGAGATGGGCAGTGACCAAATTTGAAATATATATAAATAAACAAACAAACAAACTTTAATGTGACAAAAGGAGAAGACTATTAAATAAGTGGGCAAAAATCATATTGCCTGTTTTTGTTAAATTTAATTACCTTGAATTTAAAAGTTAATTAATCCAGATTTAACTTTTGCCCAGACCTCACCCACTATTTTTTTGACATGTGATCTCTACTGAAAAACTAATTGCACAGCTCTGCGGTTTAAAAGGTTATACATGGCATAATTTTTACATATGGGAACCAAAAAGAGGAAGAAAGAAGGGAGATAGCTGGATTATATACATGTGTTTCTGTTTTCAGATCTGTCTTGAAGGATATGTCATCCCTGCTACCAGAAGTAGTTATAACATCATGTAGAATTGTGAAGGTCCATGATATCTTCCATCTTATCTTGTCTGGTCCTAGAAAAACCGATTGGATGCCAGAAGAAGAGCAATTTGAAATGCTAAGGGGCAACTGTTGCAATATTGGGAGGGACTGGCTAAGTAAGAACCACTTATTGATGTCATGCCATGTTGTATGCAAGCTGTGGTCTGCACAAGATGTGCAATTTGTGGTTTGCAAATTTATGGTACATACAGCAGTCTCCATGATATATGAACAAACTTGTAAGTAATACAGATGCATATATTTTTGTCGTATCCCTTTTCAAACAGGAATACATTTCATAAACATTGGGAATTGATAGGAAAAGGTATATTTAATTCTTTCATCTTCATGAGCCAGAATAGTATAGCAAAGACCTTCTTAGTGCGGGTGGGTGGGAGAGTGTTGCATATGTTTTCCTTGGGAAAACTTGCCTAGCTTCCTCCTTGTTGATTTTAGGCATACATTAAAAACCTTTTTAGTCAAGCGGGGTTTTTATATGAAGTTCTGCTGCAGTTTCTCATGATTGAGGTTAATGAGTCTTATATTGCCATTTCTGCTGGAAGTGGTCTTGGGCTTCTCCCAGAAAAACACCAGAATTCTTCATTGCTGTGCATGGAGAAAAGTTTCCCAGGGACAGTGATCTCGTGCTGTGGAGTTGAAAAAGGAATGCTAAAACAGTCTTTATGGGTAGGAGGCAGACTTCTTTGGAACAAAGCACTGAGAGTGAATGTTGCTCATTATGAAACTTCATCAGATCTTGGTGCCTTTGAAAAATATTTCCTCTTGGCCGCAACGTATTAAGCAACACCTTAAACTTTTCTGAGAAGTAAACAGTTTTGGTGAGCCTACTCTAGAGGAAATGACTGACTGACTGTGACATTTACTGTTGCATTACTTTTTCACCAAATGAGGGCCCACTGCAGAAAAGGGGGACCCTGCTGATTCAAGTCTTTGTATGCTGGGCTTTGTGTGTCGCTCTCTCAAATAAAAAATTAGTGTCAGAGCAGGGTGCCAGCAAACATTTGTCCCAGAACTTTGTAGATGTGAAATTGACTTCTAAGGGTGGTCCTATTTTTCTTTTCTCCTTTTTTCATTTTTATAGCTCTGCCAGACCTTACCTTAGGCAAGAGGTCTCCAGCTTTTGGGCCTACAAGCAGCCTTGGCATTTTGAGAGCATGTTATGAGCACTTTCACAAAATGGTTGTCACAAAACACCCAAAGACTAGAAGACCCAGAGCCCACTGCAGCCACCCACAATTTTATAAAATATAACAGTGCTGGGAGCTTAGTGGGTGCCAAGGAATGTGTTGGCAAACACATTGGCACCCCCAGATACCAGAGTGAGGTTTTTGCCACAAGGGCTGATTCTTAAATGGTTCACATTGCTACTGCTACTGTTGTTACATTTTTGCCAGTGAAAAGGGGAAAAGGTGCTTCAGATATTACACATTTTGACTTGTGGAGGATGGTAATGGCAACATTTGCTGCTCCAGCTGGGACTTAAGTTGTTTGGAGTTGGTCTGAGTTGTAATACAATTTGCTGTAAAATGTACCTCTCCCCTCTACATTTCTTATTCGTTGATGATGTCATCCCAATCAAATAATACATAATTAGCTGTTGATGTACATGTCAATCATATCTGAATTATATGACAGCACTGAGAGCAAACAAAGCCACTATGTCCCCATTTATTATCCATCCTGGCACCAAGACAAAGTAAATATTTAGTAATGCAGGTTCAGTTTGCAGCCTCCTGACAGCCTCTCTTAGAAGAATCTGCCTGCCTGTATAAAAACCAACACATGGGGAGGAACTCCTAGGGTAGAAATATTTTGTTTAAAGCACTCCCTCACAGCAATACCTCATGCTTAACTTTTGCTATTACACTCAGCTGGTGGGTAAGATGGTACGATGGCTGGAGAAATGGAACTTGGTCCCTCAGAGCATCTTAACCAGACCAATTGCTCTCAGTTGGGCTAGAGGAGGGGGCTGAGGCTGTCTCCAAATGTCAGTTGAGGAGAAGGAAGGGGAGGTTTGATAGGAAGACAGGTTGTGTGGGAGAGAAGCTTTGGATCTTCGCCCAGTGATACAGTCCACCAGACTGGGTGGCTGGTTTATATACAATCCCTTCAGCTAAAGGATAATGCTGATAACAGAAGAATAATCTCAAGTGGTAAAGATATTTCTGAAGAGTAAAGAAAACAAGTTTGTTACTTTATTCAATCTCTCTCATGGAGCCTCTAAACACTCCCGTTTGTCTTGGTCTGTAACAGAATTCCAATTTCACTGGAGCACCTATGTTAGTTTAGGCTCTGGTTAGTGGTAACTGTTTTTACTAGAAATTGCAGTTCTTAAGTTTTGTAATACTGTATGCTGTCTGGGCTGACATTTTGAAATTAAATCCTGTCAATACCTTGCAAATTGTGTACAATATAGTATAATATAATTAAGGCAACATTTTTAAAAAAGAGGGTGAGGAAAATAATAACTCTAACAGGTCACATAGGCAGGTGGCATGGGTACAATTCTGGGTAAAAGGGAGAAGCTGAATAGTCACTGGGTTCCAATCAAGCCGTTTTTACTTGCAAACTCCAAAATAAAAAAATGCCCAGGTAGAGGGAGGGTCTGCAGTGACCGAGCCTGCACAGCTGATTGCGAGGCAGGCCGCTCTGCACTGGACAAGGTGCCCCCCCCACTCCGCCGGCTTTGCCTGGCCGATCGGTCAGGTAGGGTCAGGGCCCCGCGATTAGGCTGTCTCAAATGCAACGCTTTGCCGTGCCCCTTTGAGGGTAGGGGGCGGAATCAAGTCCTCCTTGCAGGAGTTCCCCTTTTAAGAGCCAACCAGAACCGTTTTTCACGAAAAGTGGAAACGAACGTCTGGAATGCTTTTGGTGTTTTGCTTTTTAAGTCAACCGAGGGAAGGAGATCTTGCTTCGTATAACGCGGATAACCTTCCACGAATTGCACAGATTTTTGGGATGTTGAGCCAAGAGCATCCTAAGCCGGGCCTGGCGGGGTTAAACATGAACACGTCACATCATGCGTTTGGAACTCCGCCCCCTCGCAATAATGTGGGGAGGTTTGAAAATCACCCCATTGGAAGCCCCGCCCCCCCGCTTGCCTTGAGGAGGAGCGCGAAGAAATCGGGCAAATGAAGCTGGTGACGGCCGCGTGTGCTTGTGAATGGTGAGTGCCTGGCACCTGCCCAGATTCTGCATCTTTGTGCACGAGTCCCTTGGGGTCACCCAGGCGCAGCCGACGCAAGAGCAGAGAAAGGAGGGCGCTACCCGCGAACCATGAGCCCAGGTGGACTGGAAGCTTCGTTGATTGTCTTGATGCTGTTGGGTACCCTCAGCCGCGCTTCCACGAATGGTAAGAGGGAGCGGGCAAGGTGTTGAAACCTAGGTGGCTTTTCAGATGACAAGGGGAGAAGCAGGGAGCAAAACAGAGCGGAGCCAGCGTTTGCAGCTAGGAAGGCAAAGCCTGGGGAGGGGAGGAGAGTTGGGGGGCTCAGAAAATGCAAATCCTTCCAACGCCTACCGGGAAAGCGGCGAACGCGTTAGAACCTGGTACCCGCGTCCCGGGCCCAAGGTGGCGCCTTCTTTCCTTAAGAAAACTTTTAAAGTTTATTAATTTTATTTTATTATTTTATTATTTATTATTAATTTTTTAAAGTTATCCCCGCCCTCCGCGTGGCTTGGGTGGGCTGCTAGAAGGCGCGTCACTCTCGCAGCTCCTTTCCGGGGCTCGTTAATAGCTGGGTTCTAGCGACTGGCGAGAAAGCCGCGCGTTGCTCAGCACCTGGTTTTAAACGAGGTCGCCCCCCTCTTGGGATAACTGGATTCCCAATTCATTGGACTTTCCGCCGTTTTTTCCCCAGTGGATAGCGTCGTTCATTTCGCTTTTTGCAGAAACCGGCCATAACCCTTTGGATTTTGGCAAGGATCGATAGCTAGCTTGCTCTTTTTCTGCCCACCCCATTCCCAACTAGCTGCCGCTGTCCCTAGGTATTTCATTCAAGGCGGCGGAACTGCTGTTTACTCCGCCCTTCAACTTGAACTGGAGATATGAGCTCAACGCGCCGGGCCCTCCCACCACGCGGCTCTTTCGTGCCATTAGGTTGCAGCCTTGCTCGGTCCCAGAGGCTTCGGGATTCAGCTTTCATCGGGGGGGGGGGGGGGGG